ATATATATATATATATATATATATATATATATATATATATATATATAATGTGTGTGGTTAAGTGTCTCATTACCCACCCCCCACTCCTTCACACCTTTCTTTCTCCATCTTTTCCTGCTCTCTCTTCCCGTCTCTCATCCTGTGTCTCTGACGACTACAGCTGCGATGATTCACCTTGTGAATCAGACACGCATTTCAAGGTTTCAGCCCACATATCTCACGTCCCCTTGGCCCCCAACCCATCCCCCACTCTACCTTCCTTTTTAACGTTCCTCCCCCTCTGTACTGCTCATTCCCTGTCTCATTGTCTCATCCAAGTTGCAGGCAAGATTTCTGTCTTCTGCCCATCAGAAAAGTCAAAAACACAAGAGGCAGTGTTAAACACTCTCCACCTACAGCACTGCTCTGATTTTTATTTTTATTTTTATTGTTGTTTCTTTGCCTGCTGGTTGTAAATCTGCTATTAAGCCAAGTAGAACCAATAATTCAGAGTTAAAAATACATTCCTTCCCCAGCTCTTTGTTGACAGTCTGCAGCGTGCGCTCCCAGTTGGTATTTGCAATTATTTATTTTTCATAATCTTCTTTGAAGGGTATTGATGTGGCTGGTTTTTTTTTGGTTTTTTTTTGGTTTTTTTGTTTTTTTGCGTCAGCCCTCTGCTGACTCCAGTTTTAAATAACTCCCACCATCGCAGTGAGTCAGGCCCTATCGTTCACAGCCGCCGCTCGTCACCACTGGACGGCCTTATCAGCGCTGTTTGTGCTGTTTCACACACACTCAGAGATACAGTCACACGTGCACACACTAATGACGTACATTCAGTGACATTGTCAGCAAAGGTGATAAAAAGTGCACACTGATCCAACGTCAGTGAGGACGAAGACCGGTTCTCAAAAAAATAAATAAATAAAACGGAGCACGTTTCATCTTATGTCGATAAGTGCGACGGGACTGATTTGTGTGGATTTGGTTTGTGTTCGCAGGTTTGGTGGCATTTCGGCAGCACCTCCAAAACTTGGCAAGGACCAAAGGCATCTTGGAGCTAAACAAAGTCCAGATGCTGGTAGAGCAGATGGGCTCTGGGGAAGGGACCACCGGGGGCCCCGTGGGACCGCAGCACCACTTGCACAACCTGCTGGAGGTCCGTGTGCTGTATGGCACCAACACACTCTGATGTTGAATTCCTCCACAAACACTTCAGTCCCTATTTCATATTGGACAATAAAAAAAAATAAAAAATGCACATGAGCACCCAGGCTGTTGTGTAACCCTGGAGAGGCAGCCAACTGTGGCTTGTTTACTGTCTCCTGTCCCCCTGGAGCTCAGAGCCGGGACCAAAATGAATGCAGCCATTGTTGAAATCAGTCAGACTTGCCCATAGTAAGTACTAGAACTATAGTCACACAACAAGACACACAACATGCAGGGAGCTATGTGAGGACATCGCTGGTGCTTTCCTGAAAACAAAAAAATGAATTAGCACAAACAAGATCCTTCTGTTTTCTTTTTTGTCCTTGTTTGTTTGTTTTTAATTTTTGTATCCATCTCATAATGAAATAAAGATGCTCTTTGTTGGTTATGATGCTTGAAGCACCATCAGCCTTTTAATTAGCCTTCACTCCATTTACCTAATGTGAAATCCCTCCGGTGCTCTCCGTTTAGAGGAAAGGCTGATCAGTCGCACGAGCTTTCAGGCAGGAGGATGCGAAGATAATTCATCCAGACTACATGAAACTCCAAAACCTTGATGCAGCTTTATTAACTAGCATGGATGAGGAGGGGAAATCTGTGAATTGAGCTCATTTTGTCACAACGTTCTTTGTTTTTAATTGAAGGGTGAGGCTTGCAAGCAGCAGGAGGGCCTAGCTTTATACCAAGGCGAGCCACAGCCGCCTCTCCTTTCCCGCAGACAGAGTTTGGAAACACAGTACCTCACTCACAGACTACAGGTACAGTCACCACCACTCATTCTGGTCAGATTACCACTTTACAACATCAGGGATGCAGGTTGAAGATGATTGTGAAGGTAATTATTAGTCCCGATGTCTCTTTTGCCCAGAAGGCCAACATCTTGGCTAACAGTCCTGCTAGCTGTCAGCTGTTCTGTAAGGAGACTCCTCGAAGTTTAGAGCAGCAGCTGCAGGAACACAGGTACGGTAACTGACGCTGCAAGTCTCCTCTGCACACCTGTGTTCCCTTCTTACTGTCATCTTTTTAAATTCAGCCGTTTTATTTGTTTTTTTTAATTTTGTGTTGGAAAATCCAACATTTTCAATGGTTATGGGATGAAACTAGCTACATCCGGATGATCAGCCTGAAGCTTCATTTAGTTTGCATCATTCAGTCCATGCTGCTGTTTGGCTGATTTTATGTTTGCAGAATCTTATTTATTTGGCAATCATTGCTGTGCAAAAGTCTTGAGCCACTCATTCTTTATATATATTTTGCTCACAATGAGCCAGACTTTCTTGTAATCTGTAACGAGAGCTTGATCAATAGTTCATCAAGATTACTGAAGGTCTTTCTAATTTTTGTGTAGACCTTGGCTGCCTTTTCACCTTTTTTCAGTCAAGCACCTGGCTGTTTTCCATTTTCAGAGGAAGGCTTTTTGTTTGTTAATCCACTAAACTCTGACCTATAAAAACTTGTGCCTGTGTTGTGTCAACACACAACTACCGTACATGGCAAAAAAAAAAAAATAATAATATATATATATACAGGTCCTTCTCAAAAAATTAGCATATTGTGATAAAGGTCATTATTTTCTATAATGTAATGATAAAAATGAAATTTTCATATATTTCAGATTCATTGCACATCAACTGAAATATTTCAGGTCTTTAATTGTTTTAATACTGATGATTATGGCATACAGCTCATGAAAACCCAAAATGCCTGTCCCAAAAAATTAGCATATTTCATCCCACCAATGAAAGACAAGTGTTTTTAATACAAAAAACGCCAACCTTCAAATAGTCATGTTCAGTTATGCACTCAATACTTGGTCAGGAATCCTTTTGCATGAATGACTGCTTCAATGCGGCGTGGCATGGAGGCAATCAGCCTGTGGCACTGCTGAGGTGTTATGGAGGCCCAGGATGCTTCGATAGCGGCCTTAAGCTCATCCAGAGTGTTGGGTCTTGTGTCTCTCAACTTTCTCTTCACAATATCCCACAGGTTCTCTATGGGGTTCAGGTCAGAGAGTTGGCAGGCCAATTGAGCACAGTAATACCATGGTCAGTAAACCATTTACCAGTGGTTTTGGCACTGTGAGCAGGTGCCAGGTCGTGCTGAAAAATGAAATCTTCATTTCCATAAAGCTTTTCAGCAGATGGAAGCATGAAGTGCTCCAAAATCTCCTGATAGCTAGCTGCATTGACCCTGC